AACGCCTCAAGAATGTTCTTGTCACCATATTGTTTCACAAGTAGCCCCACATAGTACATTGATGAACTTTCACAATTTTGGTCCTTGGCCTTACAGCCCCAGAAACCTGACCTACCAGCACAGCTGGAGCAAACTCTCATCTCAAAGGCAGACTTAGAACTCAAAGACCAAGAAATACTGAAAATTGATATCCAAATGCAAATATACTAATTTACAACAAGAAATGAAAATAACAAATTGACTAAAACATTGTTTAGGGAAAGCTGCCAGCACATTCCCTTTGGGTGGGCAGATCGAGATGAGGAGAGAAATCATAAGCAGAAGGCTACTTGGTGATTTTTAAAAAAAGTGGAGCAAAGAGAATATGTTTAATAATTCAAAAATCCAGTGAAGACTAGAATTTGGGCCCTAGTTTTACTATTTCCTAATTTGCATTGACATTTCATAGTGGAAATCAGTAAGTGACCCACCATACTCACCAAATAGTCAAGGATCCAGATCCCAGGTGTGTCTTGGCTAGGGACTGGAGGTTTTATCTATGCGGTTAATCAAACTCTTTTCTGGGAGCATACTAGTATTTAATCTCGGGAAAGTAAGTTACCCTAAGGTAACGTCTGATTTCCCTGACAATGCTATTTAAAGACATCACTAGTTTTGTTTATTCTTTTATTTTTTCTTTGGTTTGTGATGTTCTTTCTTTTCTACCCAAGCTACCACCATCAAATCAGTCTAGGTTCTCTTTTAGGATCTTTGATCCTATCTGCTCTACTTACTTTAAGCTTGTCCTATTGTTCAATTCCAGAGATTACTACTACACAAATTGACCTTAAATGATTGCTTCAAACATGTCCTTTCTTATTTTCCCACCTCCATTCAGACCAAAGCTCCCAATGACTTCTATTGTCTTCAGGGTAAGTCTGGGGGTGAGAATTTAACATAGTGGTTGGGATGCTCACATCCTATATCGGAGTGGCTGAGTTCAAGTTCTAGCTCTGCTACTGGATCCAGCTTCCTGTTGATGTGTACCCTAAGAGGCAGCAGGTAATGGTTCATGTATTTGTGTCCCTCCTGCCACCCACACTGGAGACACAGATTGAATTCCTAGCTCCTGCTTCAGTCTGGCCCAGCACCAGATGTTGTGGGCATTTGGGGAATGGTTTCTCTCTCTCTCCCTCTCTCTCTCTCTCTGTCTCACACACACTCTCATGCTCTCTCTCCCCCCACCTGTCTTTCAAATAAATAACTTTAAAAAAGTTAAATCTGAATTTCTTAGCTTGTCCTTCAAATTCTTTTGTACCTAGGCCATATTTATTATTGTTTTACTACTGCCTAAACTCTCTACTCCAGCCAACTCTACTCTCTTCCAATATTCTATATACACCCCTAAATTCATGCCTCTGCTCATTCCTTGTGTTAACAACTGCCTTCTTCAAGAAGATATGTTTGAATGTCCAAATCTGAAATAGCCCTCTTTTACTCTTTAGCTCTTTGGTGTTTACTATGCCTGGAGGTATTTATTTATTTTTATTTTTTTTTATTTTTTTAAAATATTTTTTGACAGGCAGAGTGGACAGTGAGAGAGAGAGACAGAGAGAAAGGTCTTCCTTTGCCGTTGGTTCACCCTCCAATGGCCGCTGCGGCCGGCGCGCTGCGGCCGGCGCACCGCGCTGATCCGATGGCAGGAGCCAGGAGCCAGGTGCTTTTCCTGGTCTCCCATGGGGTGCAGGGCCCAAGCACCTGGGGCATCCTCCACTGCACTCCCTGGCCACAGCAGAGAGCTGGCCTGGAAGAGGGGCAACTGGGACAGAATCCGGCGCCCCAACCGGGACTAGAACTCGGTGTGCCGGCGTCGCTAGGCGGAGGATTAGCCTAGTGAGCCGCGGCGCCGGCCTGGAGGTATTTATTATATATAGATATACTATCTCCTCATTTATAATACAAACCATAATTTATAATAATTTATAATTTAATAATTTATAATGTAAACCATATAATATAAACCATAATTTATAATACAAACCACAAATACTTAAGGGTAGAGAACAATACATTTTGCCTCTTTTATACTCCATCTCCTCGGTGTCACAATATCAAAAAGCAGGTAATTAGAACTGACTCTGTCCACTTCCAGGTAAAGCTGTTGACCTTCTATTAGTGCTTAGGAAAGGATTTGAAAAGAACTGTCTCTAAGGAAAGGAGTTGCTCCTTAAAGCATCCCAGACATATTAGTAGCTCATGGTTTGTTCTAGGCCCTTGGAGTGCTTCCACCAAATTAAGGTTTTTTTTCCAACATCCCCATTTGCTCTCTGTTTTTTAATATCACAGTTGGAAGTGTCTTTCAACTTTTGTTAGTATTACTGTCAGTCTCAAGTATAATGCTAAGTTCAAAAATGGATTCGAACTTTAAAATATAAAGATTGTAATCAGGACATTTATCAGTGAGAACCATACAGGAGGGTGCATTACAGAAAGGCACAGCAATGAATAATTCCTTTTAGTTTGATGGTGGGGTAGACAAAAGTCTTCAAACAGATTTGTAAAGTTTATTGGACTAGCAATAGAATCAAGCAGGAACTGTCCTAAGTTTTTTAGCTACTATTTAGCTTTTCAGCAGTCTTGTATATAATACCATAGCAGTGCTTGGAAAAAACTACACTACAGTTGTCTGATACAATGAGGTGATTTGCAATAGCAGCTAGGAAAACTAACAGTTTCCTCTATTTACACCAAAGTACTACAGTCAATGGGGAGGACATCCAGAATAATGTCAGCAGATCCTCTATGATTATGAAAGGTATAGAAATACACACATCGTCTCTTATTTCATGGAATTTGGCAACTCCACATCAGAAATGTTGGGGAGCAATCTGGCTAAGCCTTGGAAGTAGGATTGAGAAACCTAATTCAAAATGGAATGAAGGTGATAATCTTTTCTAGGAAGGAGGAAATTACTAGATTAAACAAAGATAATTAAGTCTAACTAGTTAATTATAATGGCATAAACAAAATTTAAATATTGTAATTATAGTACATAAAAAGGGGAAAAAGCTATGTTAAAATGGAGAAAGCAATAATTTCCTGGGCAAGAAAGAATTAACTATTAGAAGCAAGAGATAAAGAAAGAATTCTTGTTAAAATACTTGGTTTGTTCTCTAACGTTAAAGTAACAACAGAGATTAATTATGTTCTGTGATATAAGAACAATGTTTCTACTGTTTACTATATAGATTGATGCATGTTTTTGGAATGCAGAATTTTATTAAATATATCTAGCATTAAAAGCAACAGAAAATTGTTTTAAACTTTATTATCATTTTAAATTTCCAGAAAAAGTATTTTCTATTAGTGAATATTGATTTCTTTCTTTCAATTCTTCTTGTAAAAAAATCCTGGAATTTTAATATATCCTAGGATAGAATCATCATGATTTCCCACAGAAGAGCACTAAAATCAGTCTAAAGAAGGATGATTGTTTCTTTTAATTTTTAAATATGTAAAAAAGAATTTCCATAGTTTTCCTGTAAACCCTTTAATAACCTACAAAAAATGTCTTCCTTTTAGCTGATGTTTCATATTTTCTTGTATGACAATTTTAATAATACGCAGAATTTGACAAGAAGAAATGAGCTATAGGTTGCCTACAAGAGTGAATTTTATCACCTTGTTATCATAAAACATATTTAGTTTTATATTTAAGCATAACTTTTGTTTAAACGTAGTTTTCTATGTTTGCTTTTTTGTGTACAAATGTTCTATAAAACAACTGAATTTTTAAACTTTAGTTGGATCACTTAGTACGTACATCACATTTAAGCATATTACACCTGTTCTGAGATGATATATAAAGGGTTAAAAGTGTAGATTTCATATTTCCTGTGAGAGTTTTATATTGTAATTTGGATTTTCCTCAATTTGAATGAGTACATGAATTTCTCACTTTGCTCAAAAGCAATCCTTCCCAGGAAAATCATGTTCATTTACCTCAAACATGTGAAATAGTTTCCACCTTCACTCATATTCTCATTTACAGACAGAGAGGATTTTGAATTGAATTATGTCATAAATTGGAAAATATGGTATACAAAGGTGACTTTCTAATTTTAAGTTTTTTAATTAAAGATCTGTGTAGTAGTAAGTTTGATTCTGAAAATTTAAGTTGCTTTAGAGGTAGTTGAACTGTAAAACATTCATTTTTACTTGATGATTTTCACTTAGAAATTAATTGAAAGGCTATAACCAATTAAAATGTCACTTGAAAGTCTACCATTTTTATTGTGCATATTATTGTTCCCATAGACTATAAATGATTTTTACAAGTTTTTAAAATCTACAGCTAAATTTATTGTTTCTCATTGGATCTCATACTTCTAAGGAATATGTGAATACACTGCTCCACAAACATAAAAGTATGTTCTTATCCTTTTAGAATTAAAGCAATAAAAATATCATCAGGAAAAAAAATGCCATAAATTCCATTTTTTGTGCTTTACTTTTGAATGCAATGTCTAATCTGATTAAAATAAAATTGTGAGAAACAAAAATCTTGAAACAAAATAAAATTGTGAGAAACAAAAATCTTGCAACAACCTCCATTTAATACACTTATTTTAAATATAATCAAAGATTTGATTTTAAAATCCTATGATCCAGGTACATCTTAAAGGACAATTGGAGTGTGATTAGTTACCTCTAAAACCAATCTATAAAACTTAGTGAATGAAACGTTTAAAGTTCTTACATATTTACTAGTAGAAACATGTATTTTAATAATATATTTTCATTATTTATTTTGTAATACTACTTGGATTTTTAACTTAATCATTGGCACAGAACAATAATTTGCTTCTTCATAAAATTATGAAGTGAATTACAAATATTTTCCTTAAGGGAATTTACAAAACATTCACTTTGAAGCAGTCCATAAAGAAAATCATGTGATGTTTTGTTGGATTGTGGATCAAACGATAGCTAAACTCAACAGCGCATTATCATAAACATACCTTGTCCTTGAGTTACTCCGTAAAATTCAGCTGCTATCCTTGCCGCTTCCTTGCGGTTGCCTTTCACAATGTAGAAATGACTAAGGATGGCAAGGCTGATTTTCACAAAAAGCTTAAAACAGAAAAGTGAAAGTATTGTAAAATAGACATTGGATAACTGTTGAGCAAACGGTCGGCTCTCTTCTAACACCGACATTGCTGCAGAAGAATCTGCGGCGGTCTTCAGTTCGATCCAAGTCTCAAATGTGCCTGGCTCTCGTCCGGGATGCTCCTGAACAGCTGGTCCTGAAGAAAGAAAATATCAGCTGGTAATGATGCCTACAGCTCAAAATATTTATACTGTCCATAAAAGTTCTCCACAAACTCCTATTGGCCTGACAATATTCCATGGAACCAACCGCATCACGTGTCTCAAGTCTCCTGACTTTCCATTCTCAATATAAAATGACACCCCACCTCTCAGCTCTGAATTGCAAAACTCAGATATTGAAATATATATACCTATTCCTCCTATTTAGATCTGCTTGTCAATAACAATTGGAAGAATTTGTGTACAGAGTGCCCATGTTAATGTAAATCATGCTCATAATCAAGGAAGATAAGATTAAGTCCATCACTTCAAGGCTTTAAAATTGTGCTATTTGTAGACCATGAGGTAAATCAGCACATGGTTCATGAATTGAATCTTAATGATTACTCATCAAATTAGCCAATTAAGTTGTTTTCAATGTTATTAGAAAAAAATCCCAATTTTCTTACATGTGGTTAGACTGGCATATCATTGACAAATAACTTTGCACTGGAAATTCACCCAATGAATACTAAGAACCTGTTATATGTCAAACATTTTGCTAAATGGTGGGCAAAGATGAATATAATGCCCCTGTCACAAGGATTTCATAGTCTAGACAAGAAGACAGACAAGAAATCAGATAAATACAATACAGGTAAGGACAAGGTGTCAAGCCAACAAAAAGAAGATGAGTCTAATCCTTATAAGATTAGGGAAGAGCCAGAAAGGGCTTCCTGGAGGAAGTAGCATATGCAGAATTACCAAGCAAACAGAAATGTTTCACCAAGACTATCCTAAACAAAATAAAGCAATATATGTTTCAGCCCAAAGTCTGTGTTAAGTACAATTTGATTTATTCTTCAATAAAATGCAACTGCATAAATTGGCCCAGTTAGGCAGGCTGTAATTTTAATAAGAAATAGTAAATTATTCGGAAAAATAATGTGGAGTGGCAATATTCTAGCATTCAACCCAGAAATAATAGCCAAAATGTAAAGTATTTTTCTTTTTTATATGACCAGATTTGGGGCCTGTTAATTGTTTTAGTGCTTCCTTGTTTTTCTGAGAAGCTTCAAAATAAGAAATAATAAAGACATGAGAAAACAGAAGTCACTCTTAAAATAAAGGATATATCAATAATCTGTCATACTGGTGTTATACACTTATCTATCTTGGTGTGTACTTGTTATGCTATATTATCTTGCATGGTTAGGCTGATTCATATGAAACCTTCCTAAGACAAGGGATAAATTATCATAAAATAAATATGTTGTTGGTGGGTGTAGTGGTACAGCAGGTTAAACCACTGTTTGGGACACCCACATCCCAAGCAAACTGCTGAAGATGGAGTCTCATCTCTGCTCTCATTCAGCTTTCTGCTAATGCACTTAAGAGGCAGAAGATGGTGGTTCAAGTGTTTGGATTCGTACTACACATGTGGCAGACCCAGATGGAGGTCCTGGCTCCTGGCTTGATTCAGGCCCAACCTCTGCTTTCACAGGCATTTGGGTAGTGAACCAGTGGACAGGAGCTCTGATCTCTCTCTCTCTCTCTCCCCCCGGCCCCTCTCTTTCTCTCCCTGCCTCCCTCCTTGTCTCCCTCCCTCTGAGTGTATGACTGTGTGTCCCTCTCTGTGTGTCACATTCTACCTTTCAAGCAAATTAAAAAAACAAACAAACAAACAAACAAAAAAACCTTTAAAAAATCTATCAAATAAAGCAGGGTCCTTATTTCCGTGGTGAATGAGTGGCTTCTGAGACAATAAATTGGATCAATACTTTAGAAAGAAATTACCAAGATCTTTGAGAAAGTAGACCTTAGTCACAGTCAGAGGCAGAACTAGTTCAGCAATCGTTGATTGGGTCCAATGTGTCATTTCCTGCGTGCTTTATGAATCATTGAAAATTATCTTCCACTTGCTGAAGACCAAGTGCTCCTCTTTCGCTAGTGGTCACACTGTGACAGGTAAGTAAATCCGTGACGACTACTCTCCAGATAGTCTTCCTTCAGGCTGGTGATGCCTGACCGCACAGTGGGCACACATGCCCATGGACAGCTGGACCATCACAATGCTCTGAGTCACTGCATGACTTCCACTTCGGTGCTTTCGATTCAAAAATAAAACCCGCCTTAGTCACAACTCACTGCCTGTCTAGGGTTTCACTCCTTTCTCTTTACCAGTAAGTGCTATTATAATTACCTCCATGTCAGCTAACCAAGAGTGTGCATTCTTTTAGGAGAAGAAGCACTCATTTCACCACAGCTGCTATCATTAGTACATCGAGTTCAAATCCTCATAGTTTCACTATTAGGAAAATATTACTTTACAACTTTTAGGATTTTCTGTCAAGAGATCAAGTTTTATTTTCATAGTCCTACTTCTATTTCCTATGTTGGTATACTCCACATCCACAAATTTTATCATTTCCATCAATCATCAAAAGTCAAAATCAAATCAAATAATTCAAAGTGAATTCATCAAAAATAAATTAAATACTCTGTTTTCATGTTATAGATTCTTCCAAATAATACCCTGGATGACTGTTGATATTTAAAAGACACATAGAAGTATAGTGCATTTTTTTCCTGGAATTCTCATTTCCTTAAAAAATAAAATATTGATTAGTAATTTAAGTAACCTTTTGAGTTAAATGCCTTTATAGTTTACTATTTTGAGAGTATATGGCAGAGGGATTTTGTTGATTAGTCTAGTAACCCCAACTGTTATAACATGGCTCATTTCAATCAATGGATCAAGCCAAAATGAGCAAATTGAGCTTAACATTATATTTCTAGAATGAGTAATGTAAGGGAAATTAAAAATATAGGAACAGGTCGGCGCCGCGGCTCACTAGGCTAATCCTCCGCCTTGCGGCGCCGGCACACGGGGTTCTAGTCCTGGTCGGGGCACAGGATTCTGTCCTGGTTGCCGCTCTTCCAGGCCAGCTCTCTGCTGTGACCAGGGAGTGCAGTGGAGGATGGCCCAAGTGCTTGGGCCCTGCACCCCATGGGAGACCAGGATAAGTACCCGGCTCCTGCCATCGGATCAGCACGGTGCACCAGCCGCAGCGCACTGGCCGCAGCGGCCATTGGAGGGTGAACCAATGGCAAAAGGAAGACCTTTCTCTCTGTCTCTCTCTCTCACTGTCCACTCTGCCTGTCAAAAAATAAAAAATAAAAAAAAAATTAGGAACATAGAGGAACATAGAAATCATTTATTGGGGGTCAATTTTATGATATGTGGGTGTGTTTGTGTGTGTATGTACACACACTACTTTTTTTCTGTCTTGGTACAATAAGTGTATTGTGAGCAACAGCACTATTAGAACATAGTTCTGACTCTAAAATACATGCTTAAGTTAGCTCTAACATTTTCTATTTTTAAGTACAATCTTATTGCGTAAATATGACTCATGCATGCAGAGACTGAGACAGTGCTTATGCTTTGAATATGATTGGAGTTTACTTCCCATTGTGAACTACTGAGAGTGAAAATATAATCTGGTATTTACAGGTGAAGTCTTTGGAAAGGAATTAGGGTTAGATAATGTCATCAGATGGGAACCCCTATAGCTAAACCTTGGTGGCTTTATTAGCATAGAGTTAGAGACCAGAGGACAACCCATATGCTCTTCCTACATTACCCTGTGCCACTTGGGACTTGCCAGCAACGAGGTGGTCATCAAATGCACCCTCTCAACCTTAGATCAGAAATGTAAGCAAAAATAAATCTCCTTTAGTTGTACAAGGGTGCTTCAAATATTCATGGAGGGATGGGTGTGTGGCACAGTGGATTAAGCCACCACTTGAGACACCCTTTTATGATATCAGAGTGCTATTTAGACTCTCAGCTACTCTATGCTTGTGATCTTGTTTTATACTAATACACCTAGGAGGCAGTGGATGATGACCCCAGCACTTAGATTCCTGCCACGGATGTGGGAGAGACTTGGATGGAGTTCCTGGCTCCTGGCTTCAGGCTGGCCGAATCCCAGTTGTTGCAGGCATTTGGGGAAGGGAACTGATGGGTGAGATCTTGCTTAAAGATCCTGGGGATTATCACTGATGATAAAGAAACAGCTTTTCAGGCTGGCTTTTTGGCCTACCAGTTAAGCTGCCTACATACCCTACTGGAGTGCCAGGATTCAGCTTGTAGCTCTGATCCTGATTCCAGTTTCCTGCTAATATGTACCCTGGGAGGCAGCAAGTAATGCCCCAGGTACTAGTACTTGACTCTGCAACCCATGTAGGGGAGCTAGACTGAGTTCCAAGTTCCTGAATTTGGCCTAACCTAAAACCCTGGCCATTAGGAGTATCTGGAGAATGAACCACTGGATGGAATTTTTCTCTCTCTCTCTCTCAAATATTTTTTAAAGAAATTGCCTATGAATTAATCCACTATAATGGAAAGCACAATCAACTTTGGAAAAGCAGTATCATGGTACCTCCATTTGAACTTTTGGATCTAGTTGCACTTGAAGCAGCTAAATCTCACAGTAATAGGGATTTGACAGTATATGAGGTATTACATGTCTTTTTATTGTTGTTAACTAAACAACAATGGAATTGTTGAGGGTTTCATTTGTGCAGACAAGGTTCTCGCATGTTTATACTTTCTGGAGTCCTTGTAAATTATGAAGTGGTATTATTATCTTTTGGTGCTATTATCTTTTCAGTACAACAGATGAGAAACCAGACTTACAAAAGGTAAGCATTTTGCAAGATTACGTATCTTGATGTGGAAGTATTAAGATTTCAACTTAGGTTTTCCTCACTGCAATTCTTCTCAGGCTATTGTTCAAGCATTAGTGTTGAAACATTGACATTGACCCACTGCCCTCTCACTCTACCACACCCTGTGACTCATTGCATATATTTGTGCAATCTGTGGGTTATTAATAGCCTTTGGCTAAATACCTGTGTATTTTGCTAGGCAGAAGCTAACAGGCCCCACTGAAATCTTTTGTGATTAAGAATTTATTACAACCATCTCACTTTAAAAGTCTTGTATTTAAGAA